CACGCGACACGAGACCATATATATATATATGTAACCCTAAACCCTAAACCCTAAACCACCTACAGCTCCTTTCAATTATACCCCTTCTCAAGTCCCAAGATTCCACCATGGCAGCTCCGTCCATGGTCGCAGGTCCAGCTCGAAGGACCGTGCTGATGGATGCCTAAAGAAAGGGAGTTTAGGGTTTACCGTAGAGCGCAGGGAGTTTAACCTAATTAGGGTTTAGCGTTTAGGGCTCAGGGCTCAAGATCTGGCAGGTTTAGGGTTTCGGGATGTTTTGGTCAAGGTTTAGGGTTGAGTTTGGGGTTCCTTAAGTGGTCCTATATAAGGGTTTTTACAGGGAATATACCATGGGAAGGGTTTTTGTTCTTTGTTCAGGAGTTTCGTATGTGATTACTTGCAAGGGTTCTATATAAGGTCTAATGTACGGGCTATGTTGTAGGGTTGAATATATGGGCCTTACTGATGAAGTGTTGACGGGATTAGGGGTTAGAGGGATCGATGAGCTTTCGGCTTGAAATGGCTTGATGGTTTAGGGGTAGGGTTTGGGGTTTGGGTTTTTAAGATTTGGTGTAGGCTGTAAGCTGTAGCTTCAGGATGTAGCACAGTAAAGTAAGTCTCGAGAACCGTGGCAATATCCACCCTGGGTGAAGACCCAGCTCATCAACCCGAAAACACCAGACCTTTCTTCAACCCTACGTAATGCCATCAAACTTAGATATGATTTCTATCCTGGCGCCAAATGGCTGGTGCGCCACATGCCAGTAGGTCTCTGCAATTTCCTTGGGGTCAAGAAGCCCATCCTCGGTGGTTCCACGACTTACAGCTTCAGGGCTGAGGGCTTTGGAGCTGCTTCAATGATTTAGATGTTGAAAGAGTTTTTCAAGGTCTCTAGAGCTCCAAGAGGTCTCATAGAATCTTTTTTGCCTATGCCTTTGGGATTTAGTACTTAACGCTTCTCAAGGTTTAGGGGCGTCCAGGCTTGTAGGGATTGTAGGGCCCCCGGCATGTGCCGAACTCTTCCGGACTCCAGGAGAAGTTTCAAATTTCAGGCTTTGGGGTTCCTCATCTTGAGCAGTTCATCTTGCTGACGAATAGAGAAGAGCATCACCAGCACATACCCAATAAGCCCAAAAGCCCCTTATTGAGGAATTTAGCGTAGGCTTATGTAGAGTCCACGGAGACTAAGCCCGAAGCCCAAGAAGCAGAAACAACCGAAACATAGCCTTTGCTTGTTGCCCCTCGGAGCAGAATTACTTGTGCGTTTCTTTCTCCAAGAATCGGATCATACACCAAAACTCTTAAGGTTATTAAAACATATTCAAACTACAATAAGTCTTTCTTACAAGATCGCCCCAGAGAGTAGTTTCGAGTCCTGCGCCCTCGACCGAACGAAAGACGGTCTGGGAGGGCTAGATGTTATCAGCTACAGGGGTTCCGGGTTAACTAGGCTACACGTAGGGCTTCACAGAATTCATTGCAACTTTGAGCGTTAAAGGCCTACAAGGCAAGCATCGTGAGCACCGGCCGTGCTGCGCAGCTCTTCAAAACGCTCAGCTCCCATCATCTTCCCCAGCGTGTCGGGCGCATCTACCGGACCATCCACGATGATATGCGCCACGTGGATTCCCTTCCTCAGCTTTCATACGTATACTTCGAGACCTTAAATGCTGTGAGCCGATGTAGCTATGTATAGAGACGCCGAGCACCTGTTGACAGCCATGTTTCAGGATGCATGTTGGATCATCTACAGGATACTACATGCATCGACCTGGACCTGGCCGGTGGAAGTAAATGACAGGTCGAGCAAGTATGTAGCAATATCCGTCTGTCTGTCTGCCTGTCTGTCTGTCTGCTTGCCTGCCTGCCTGCCTGCCTGCCTGCCTGTCTCTCTCTCTCTCTCTCAACGTTCGCACGCATGTAGGTATGCACTAACATGTATGTTTGTATACCATGTGTGTACATTTATAAATTGTGTCATTCGGTTTCGCCGAGTTTAGGTATAAATGCTATACACACACAACAACAGGGAATTTTGAAAATGAATGGCCTAAGCCCAGGTCTCGGTCCGAACTCCGCATTCAAGCTCTGGCACAACATCCGTCGACCACCCATGGCGGCAGCATGTGAATGTTGTCCTTCATTTCCGCGCATGGCAGCTGTCGAAGAAGTTACCAGGAAGCAGCCCTTCCCATTCTGCACCATGGCTGGCATAGCAGCTTGCGCTACGCGGAAAAGGCCTAGGCAAGCCATTCGCCAGCCAAGTTCGAACTGCTTTAGAGACGTTCCAGCGAGGGATCGCGTTCCAATTTGCGCTCCGAGGTTAAAGACAACCACTGCGATAGGCCCGGATTTCTCCTCTGTCTCCTTGACAAGTCCCTCGATGGCACCAGGTTCCACTGCGTTGATGAGACGTCCAACAGCCGAGCCACCCTCAGCCTCAATATCCCGCACCATGCGATCCAGCCCCTCCTGATCCGATCTGCGCGAGAGGACCACATGATAGCCACCTTTGGCGAAGCGCTTCGCCACGGTGCCACCAATCCCCGCGCCCGCACCGATAACCAAACAAACCGGCTTCATCAGAGGCTAGTCTGCGGCTCATGGGGCACCTTGTGCCCCAAAAAGGCTTCAGCGCGGGGTAGGCGGTGGGGGGGGGGGGGTGGGAGGTGCAAGTCGGAAATGCCTGTGTCACAAACAGCACTGCCCAGGGCTGTTCTGAGCTTTGCTGCAATTTAATCTTCAGGCTTCAGGAGTTACGGTTCTACTAAAAGTTGCAGAGCCAGGGCTTAAGTGGTTTTGATGTTTATACCTGGTTTCCCGAACCTTATATTATAAAACCTATGTAAACTTATATGTAACGTCTAGGGCTGCGTGAACTTCAACTTAGAGACTCCAAAGCCCCTCAACAAGGATTGCACATAAGGCCATAAGAATTAATGATCTTAATGCGACTTCAGTTCGGGGGGTGGGGTGTTACAAGCTCTAAAGAGTAGTGCCCCATGCCCCCAGGTTGTGAGAAGGCACAGATCTGCCGGTGGGGCCGCTGT